GGGAATTCGGGAATCAGCGTGTAAAAGAGTTATTTATGTGCTTTTCGTATTATTTTCTGAACTCACACGTCGTTTGAGTGTCCCAGAACTCCCAGATCCTGAACGCGTCCTGAGGCGTTCAAAGCCCAAAGAAAAAAGTCGGAAATTCCAGAATGAGCGTGTAAAGAGTTGTTTGTGTCTTATTCGTGTTATTTTCTGAACTCACACGTCGTTTGAGAGTCGCACACATCCTGAGGCGTTCAAAGCCTAAAGAAAAAAGTCGGAGAATCCGGAACGAGCGTGTAAAAGAGTTGTTTGTGTCCTATTCGTGTTATTTTCTGAACTCACACGTCGTTTGAGAGTCCCAGAATTCCCGGATCCTGAACGCATCCTGAGGCGTTCAAAGCCCAAAGAAGAAAGTCGGAGAATTCTGAATGAGCGTGTAAAAGAGTTATTTGTGTCCTATTCGTGTTATTTTCTGAACTCACACGTCGTTTGAGAGTCCCAGAACTCCCGGATCCTGAACGCGTCCTGAGGCGTTCAAAGCCCAAAGAAAAAAGTCGGAGAATCCGGAACGAGCGTGTAAAGAGTTGTTTGTGTCTTATTCGTGTTATTTTCTGAACTCACACGTCGTTTGAGAGTCCCAGAACTTCCTCATGCATGCATGTTTGTGACTGTGAACCCCTCTGATGTAGAGCATGCTGAGTACGCCAAATAAATCTGAGCTGTCCAAATCAATACGCTGGGTTTCTTGAGTGTGTTTGGGATTTGTGTTGAAGTTTATCCGGAATTGCCTTGTAAATAAATGTCTATAGCCTCGTCCCTTTATTGTTTTAATCACGTGTTGTTTTTTTTGTAAACATAAATTAAAACAATTGTATTAACCTTATTTGTTCCTCATGCTTCTCCATATATATCTATATGTATTTATGTCTATATACATATACATATAGATAGATAGATAGATAGATAGATAGATAGATAGATAGATAGATAGATAGATAGATAGATAGATAGATATATCTCTCCTGAAACAAATAGATGCATGAGGAACAAATTAAATGAAATAAAATGTATATGAGTGTGTTTGCCTGTATAAATATACATTTGTCAGACATATATATATATATATACATATATATATACAAGTGTATATGTATACACACATACACATACACACACATATGTGTATACATGTACACTTGTCAGACATGATGTCTCCTCTCCAGATATCTGTATTATTATTATTATTATTATTATTATTATTATTATTATTATTATTATCCAGATATCTGTATTATTTATTGTATAATTCTTTAACTGTTGTTGCCGACTGGAAGACTCACAGCCAAATTCAATTTGCACAGTTTAAAAGTGTGATTATTGGGATTTATCAATAATTCATAACGGCTTAACACTAAAGAACTGGAATCGAAGTAAAGAAAGCTGAGTTCTTTTCACTGGCATAAAACGTCCTTGTCCAAAAATAATTAGCTAAACGAGATTAAATTAATTCAAACAAAAGCTTTACCTGTCAAAGCTGATATTGTTTTTCATTTTCACACAGATAATAAAATCTTTTTGACTTAATAGTTCAGATATTGGATTGAATTCTAAACCAGAAAACTCTTAATATTATGTGGTCTGCAGTCTTTTTATTTATCATCTGACTCCTGTTTTAAATATCAGAATAATTAAGCATTATTTCTTTATTCAACACACTAGTTTAATATTTGTATTTGTTGCTAACAAAAAGATTATTTAAATGAAAAAAGGATAAATTTGTACGGAGCAAGAGTAATATTTGTACCTATTTTTAGAATATTTCCTGTTTTGGGTAAATAAACTTTTTTTTAAGTCTATTTGAAAACAACCATTAACAAAACCTTATATTTTAAAAGAAGAAAATATTAAGTTTTAGTTGATTTAGGCTTCTCAGGCCTTCTTAAACTCTCCTCTGCTGCCATCTAGCGGTGAGGATGAAAACATCACAAACACCAACCCCGAATATAAAACTGGGAAATGTTCAGACCGAAGAGTTATTTGAAGCTTTTCGCTCATATAATATAAGCATAGTTAATCTTTCCTGTGCATCATAAAACAGAAATACAATCTTTCCTTCTTTTCTATTTTGGCTTCTTTCACAGACATTTGATGGGAAACAGAAAAAGACGTAAAATTAAGCTGAAAAATAAACAGAAATAGTGAGTTAATCACATTTCCTCATAAAAAAAAAACTATAGACAACT